CCGACCGAGCGACCGCCGCTTGTCGGCGAAGTTAGTGCCAACTTTTGAGGATAGAGGGCGTCGCGTGGTCAGCGCAACGGATCCCCACGGCCGTTAATCTCGGTTTTCTAGACGGGAGCTGCTATTTCCTTGAACTGACTCCTCAATTAACCTCACGAGGCTGAGTGGACCTAGTTCCAGACCCACTACTTCTCATAAAATGTGGTGGCGCCGGGAATCGAAACCGGACCACTGGATCTGTAACCAAGAACTCTGACCACTAGAGCACAGAAGCTGTGTCATCATTCTAACGTTAAACAGAAAGTACGTTATGAGTGTGGTATGTTACCGTCTCACAGCAAAATTAGTAGAAAGCGGTTACATTAAAATGTTACTGGTATGTCCGTGCAGACAAATAAGCACTACGAACATTGGACATATATTTTTATTGCTAGTGGGGTGGGACTAAGTCCCTTGTACTGTGGCCACTTCTGTCCTATCTGAGGGTGATTTTGGAGCAATTGGTGGAATGAAGATTGGCAGGGGAAACCGAAGTACTCGGAGAAAACCTGCCCCAGCGCCACTTTGTCCACCACAAATCCCACTTGACCAGACCCGGGATCGAACCCGGACCGCCGCGGTGGGAAGCCAGCGGCTAAATAACACGGGTTACCAAGAACACAAATGAAGAATCTGGGGTTATGAACAGTTCTGTCTTCTGAGTTATAACGCCACCTGCTTTGCCGCTGGTTACTTGCTCTGTTTACTCTCAGACCCTGAAGAAGCGCTGGCACTGTCAATTCACTTCAGCTTGGCTTACTAAGTTGCGTACTGCAATACGAGTCTCTCGCGTTAGCGTCAATTTTGTTGTGTGTGTGGGGTGGGGAGTTACGGACAGATAACGCTACGGAACTGAAATCAATGAGGGTACTTCTGTATGCCTCGCGCTGCACTTAACAGCTGTTGTTATGCAAACCATTAATAATGTACCAGTGGGTCGAAATTTGAGTAAAATGGGGGATGCGTGAAAGCGGTTATGAAACATACTGTAAGGTACCTTCCTCGTATTCATCTGTATGGTTTCTGAAAGCGACAAAACAAGCCCTGTTCTTGCTCGGTATTTGATCTCGAGCCCTACGTGCAATGAAGGAATGCCCTGGTGTAGTGGTCAACACTCGTGCTTCATATGCGTAAGGTTCCCATTCCAAAATGTGCCTGGATGTTTCCATTTGACCAAGAAAATGCTGACATATCCTTACCCTGCTATCATAATTCTTCAGCGCTATATAACCTATATACACAGCTCACAAACTGTGGTTAAATACAGAATTAAAATACGTCAATAAAGTATATAAAATTAATATGCGAATTCAGCCCCAGGTAGTGCAGAGGTCAAGAAAATGTGGATCTATACGTCCACTCCCTCATACGCTTTCATGAAATAGTGCTTAATTAGTTAGGCACAGGGACAACTTTTTTCCCCCCCTTGGCACTACAGCCCCAGTGGGCCTAGGCCTGCATCCTTGGGCGGGTGATCAGCTCGTCGCAAGGCCTCTACCTGTACACATATACAGAAAAACGTACACACACAAACTCTGAGTGGGATTCGAACCCACGATCCAGGTTTCCAAGCGAGCGAAGACAGTACATGCCTTAGACCGCTCGGCTACCGTAACCGGCAGGGACAACTTTACCCTACCTTACTTCGAGAAGTATCCATTTCATTTAATATGTACGCTCATTTTGACTATCGAGAACGGACTGGTGTTGCGGTTAAAGCTCAGATTTTTATTCCGACCGGGGTACACAATTTCATGACAGGTTTAACGCATCAATCTCATCCGTGGTAGTAAAAGTAAAGGCAAAGTTGTGCTTAATTACGCACCATGCCACGAATACGTACGAGGAAATTGAAAGTATTACTCCGCGCATTCTTATCTCTGCACTCGATGCAGGTGGGTGGTCAAATTCACGTCCCAGCCGCTTTATCCCCCTACTATCCATCGGATAGAGGCTGGGTGCACATGAGAACCGGTCTAGATACTGTGTTTGCCACAAAAATCTGTCCCTAACGAGAATCTAACTCCTACTCTCAGGCCATCAGCTCGTGACCTTGTCACTTTCAAATTAAGAAATAATGTACAAATCCTTACCTAACTGTCATTCGTAACATAACCCAGATATTATTCAACTCCTTGGTTACCTGGAATCATATATTACCTACTAGATACAAGTCAGATGCAAGTAAATTCACTGGGAAAAAACAATTTGTACACAGAATGCAACGAACATTGACTAGGGGGGAGAAATTGTGGTATCCCATATCCATGAATATATACATGATCTCAACAACTACTAACTTTGTTTACAAAACAATAATACCTTCATCAACTACTCATTACAAATTATCTGTCCAAATTTGTTTCCTACCACCATACACCGAAACAAAAGCAGCTGCATTACTCCTTCGACCCGATCACTAAACATAGCAATGATTATAGGTTAGCCGAACCGCGGACCGGATGGCTGAAGCGACTGGAAGGAGCGGGAAACGGATGACACTATTCACAGGACTGATAACAGTACTGACGTTATTTTCCCTCCGCAAAAGAAAGAATTTCTCTCCAGCTTTATTTCTTTTTGTATTATTTTATAATCTAAAAAGTGTCACTGATTAAATCACCTTACGTGCAACGTGTCTTTATACAGCTAATTCAAAACTTTCTCCATATCACACTACATGTGTAGTCCCATCTATGCGCCGATCACAGTGGCCGCGAGGTCTTAAGGCCGAGGGTACACCAAGGAAACTGGCAACCGCAACGCAACCGCAATTACCGGAAATTGTTATCAGCCTAGGTTGAACACATGTTACATGTGCTCAACTCAAGCTTATAACAATTCTCATAATTGAAGTGGCCAATTTCCTTGGTGTTCCCTCGGCCTAAGGCATGAACCGTCTTCGCCCGCTCAAACCCTGTGATCGTGGGTTCGAATCCCAGTCGAGGCATCGACATCTGTGTTTATTCTGCGTTTGTGTTGCTCTGCGTGTAGGTAACGGCCTTGCAACAGGCTGATCCCCTGTCCAAGGAGTCCTACCAACTGTGTATAGATTAAGAAATTGATAAAGCTACCAAGGTCCACAAGGGCTGTACAGCCATAGATACAGAAACAGACAGTCCCATCTATGCACTCGTGTATTCCATGGTGCTGTGCAGTCCTTGTGTTGTGCACCTTCAGTATGAGTGTTGATATTTGTTGAATAATAGTTGATGTGCGACAGGATGCTACAATATAAAATTGTCAGTTAAAATTAATCAGCATATTATTCTGACAGTAGGTTGGGGTGGTATGGACTGCATTCATTTGGCTCAGGATGGGGGTCAATGACAGGTTCTTATGAATAATGTAATGAACCTTCGGATTTCATGAAATGATGGGAAGTTCCCGAGTAACAGACTGGTAGCTTCTCAAGGACTCAGTTCCATGGAGTTATTCTGACAAAATGAGTGCCTTTCATAAAACAAATCAAATTTAATACTCAATGTGCTTATGCTATACAGTCCAGATATTGAAAGCATAAATACTTAAGGACCAAAGAGTACTCAAACAAGGATTTTGTCTTGCAAACTTTTCACTGTCTTCCTATTTTCTCCAGTTCTATCAGTTCCTAATGACAACATTGCACACCTATATAGGTTCTCCTGTATGACAAAGAACAGTAATTTTTCAGAATGTTAATCTCTTATGTGTTCTCCCAAGGCTTCTCTTTCCTGTAGGAAATACATATCTTGTTATTCTGAGAGAAATGGGATACACAATTATTACACCCATTTAGCTGGTAAGACAATACTGAAATGGCTCCTAAAGAAACAGAGTGATAGGGTGTGGACTGTATTGATTTCATTCAGGATTGAGACCAATAGCACACTTTTCTTTAATGTAGTAATATACCTTTGGGTTACACAGAATACTTTAAATTTATTTACTAGCTGAGCAGCTATTAAAATGTTTGGATTTTAGAAACCTTTATTCTGTTCCTAATGTTCAGTATTTTTTCTTAAGAAAAAAGCTTGATTATATTCAGTTGAAAATATGTTTTCCATTCACTGTGTTCTCATTTTTAATCCTCATAAAAATGTAAACTGAAACGGTAGGGAATAGGTAATCAGTCTTTGTCCATGAAGACAAAGATGTGACCAAGAGAAAATGACTGAGAACCCACTCTAAGTGATATATTTCACTATTTCTTGGACTTATTCTTGAAATCAAATTTTCTTGCATGAATACTGCATTTAATACAATTTATACATACATAACTTGGTCAATTTCATTCCATTCCCTGCAAGAAATTGTAACACAAAAATTATCACACACTTAAAATTTCTATTAATTAGGTTTCACATGCGGAGCTTGTCATGAGGCACATATGAAGACTACACACAAATTCAAGAATTTCTGGGATTAAGGATTCATTAACTGCCATAATTCAGTATTTCAATGATTCAACACTGTTTAGATGTCCAATTGCTCCACAAACTACAATTTGTGCGTGTGTTTGCACACGTGCCCAAACAAAAAAATAAAGGGTCAAGGGATATTAAACTCAGGAAAACAGGGCTGTCTCTCCCCCCTTTCAGTAATCTAGCAATTTTTCATTTACAGCAGCAGGAACACAGCTGCATGTCGACAATTTCATCAGAAGACTTCAGTTTCCTCTTCTTCCATGTTGCAGAAAACTGAAAATTTATGAAGATATCCTGGTAAATAAACTCCATTATTGCAGCTCAGAGAAAATTAAAGATGTTTGGACTGATAAGAAATATTATCTTGATGCAAAGCATGAGGCACAAATGTGAATCACTGCTTACATAAATTCTAAGCATGTTATCACCATCTTAATTTTTGTTTCATTTGTGTTTCACTGATAAAAGAAGCATAACTCTCTGGAACACCAAACATACCTGTGAACACCAAATACTGTAATGTTTTTGAGAAGTATGAGTTAATAAAGACACTACTTAGTGATTTCAAAATCATCTGCTTTATTATTGTTTTTAAATATTGAATAATGCCATCTTAGTGTGCCCATATTCTTGTACACTGGTACACCTGCTACTTCCAAAGGCCTTAAGAAATATAGAGCCTACAATGAATGGGATCTTCTTACACTCCCACTTCATAAATTTTGCTGTACAGTTTCATTTATCCGTAGCCATGCCAGTGTTTACATTTGGCAAGAATATGCACTTTTTTAATACAAATCAAATATTACAAAATTGTAACTTCAAACATCATCACTGCATTATGCACAACAGTAGAAGTTACAAACATAACAAACAACATGCCCAAAGTGCATTCACAAGGTACAGTACTTAGAAAAGGCTTTAAACAGCGTCACCGTCTATAAACGCACAGTCCCGACTTCAGCTGTGACAATACTGCACCTCAAAACCAGAACTCATACAAAGCATCATATGCAACAACCACATCACTTCAATCCGTGAAGCCCACTCATGATGTATCAAGCCACTTCAAGTGCAACCTTCTCTTTTCTGCGTCCCTCTCTTGCTTTCTCTGGAAATACCACCATAATAACATAAATACAGTGAAATATTTACATGAATTTAAAGACAGAAAAAATATAAAGATCAAAAGTAACTAGATATAATTGGCACATAGTAGTGTAGTTGGTTGAGGTACTATGCTACAACCCGGAAGGTCATGGGTTCAAATCCCAGTGAGGTCAACGGATTTTTCAATTGAGCTAATCCTTCCAGTCGCACTATGGCCCCGGGGTTGACTCGGCGTCTAACAGAAATGAGTACCAGGAATCTTCCTGGGGTGTTAAGGATGGCCAGCGCATAAGGCTGACAACCTCACCGCCATCTGTGAGCCGATGGTCTAGAAAATGTGGGAGCCTCGAAGTCCCACAACCCTATGGGCCTCCACTGCCTATTACACAGATATCTGAATGGCAAATAATTCACTGTCTAGAGTACTATCATCAGGAACGTGAGGCAGTGTAGTCCAGTAGCAGTTCAGCATTTCAGAGGAATGTACTGCCCCATCCTCACAGTTGAAGAGCAAGGAAGCTAGCAGAGCTTGTTTGCTGATTTCATCATTGGTTTACTCTTGAACTATGAAGATGGAAGTGACGCATTCCTCCAAAGCGTCAGTTGATATTCAATGGACTGCATGATGTTATATCACTGAAGACACAACTTTTCATAACCATCCCTGTGAGAAGCTCAAATCCTTCAGCAAGGAGCTATTTAGCTTATTCTTCAACCCTGAAGATGGAGGCACAGTCTACCAGGCTACAAGTTTCACAACCCAGAAGACAGTAATCTTATTCTGGATTTTGTGAACAATGCATAAAAATAAAAAGACAGCAAAAAGGCAGTCAGACCAGGACACAATTCTGCTGGCTACCTGGTTCAGAAGGCACATCTGGCAATGCTGGTTCAGCTGCAAGAGGTTCCTCCTCAGGAACGTCTGGCATCTCGGCTTGGATGATCCTCTCCAGTTCTCCTTCCACTGCCTCCTCATCATCAGGGGTGAGCACTCCAACCAACAGGTCATCAATTTCCTGCATAGGAAGAAACAGAGTTACAGCACCGTTCCTTCCTATTCTTCAGCACTACATGGAGGTGAGTGGTCAGCCTCATGTCCTCCCAACTGCAGTACCAAGGAAAGAGCGCTGGTACCCTTGTATAGGAGTATGAGTGGGCCTCAGAGCCACAAAGGCGAACCTGGATGGGGCGGTGAAGTGAGAAATATCTTCCTCTGTTGAAAACTGAACAAGGCTTCTCTGAATCCTAAAGCTTTTTATAATTGTACAGCTCATTGCTTAAAACTATTATTTTGAAGTTCACCCAACATCAAAGTTTCTAAAAAAATTACATTTCAGAATTTTCTTATACTTCTGTCTTCAGATGAAGATATCAACTCTGTTGGATTCCTTGGTAGAGTCACTCCATGCTATAGCTATAGAGAATAGCTATTCTCACCTGAAGATGGAAACAGAACCAATTTCTGAAACTTCTTGATTTTGGAAACTGTGATGAGAAAATCAAAAATAACAGCTTTAAGCAATGATTCTCTGGTCATTCAGCCTGCAGCCTATTCACTGTAACTTTTTATGATGCTGTTCTGTTGAAGAGAAAATGGTCGCTTCTATGATCATGATGCATATTGTTTGGATAGGAACTGTCATGTAAGGTGCAGTGATGATCCTTTAAAATCACTATAAGTGTCCGGGTCTCAAGTCGCTGGAACACACAATTGTAGGCATTTAAACTTCAGGTGTCCATAAGTCTTCGGTCATTGATTGATTCTTCAGCTGCATAGGTTACACAGCGCTGAATGGGATAACCGTGAATTACGAATGTGAAGGAAAGCAGTTGTGAAGTATTTCAGGGAACTGTTCAAAATTTGGCAGGAGTAAAATGATGACACACCCTAAATGCAATATGTTGTGTGTGACCGAGACTGGTAAACTGCAATTTCTGAACATGAGGTGAGACACCTGCCCCCTTCCTCAGATTTTTTGGAAAAGAAAAATAAAATTGAAAAAAGCAGAAATAAATCAAATATTAACACAAAAATCATGATCATTTCTAAATGCGGAGCCACAATTCTAGAGTAATACATAAAAATATTCTTGAAGAGTCTGAAAGTATCTATAAGCAAATGAGCATGGATAAAGTGACAAAAGTGTGAAGCTGATATTCACAATTTAGTGCTAAACTGTCAGCAGTTTTTATCAGTGTCACATATATACAAAGGGGCTACAGTACCATTCACGTTACTTTTAAAGATCTATACAAATTTGAAAATATTATTACTTTGACTGATATCCTGAACTTCTCTATAACAAATCACATGTGTGAAATTATACATACCCTCTGCTTCTCTATTCCTTCTCTTGTTTCTTCCAGAATCCTTTCCACTTCATCAACATTCAGAACTTCATGAATTTTCTTCAGAGCTTCATTGCCAACCTTCAGCCCATCTATAACCTCAAAAATAAATGTCATAATAAATACACTTCTTTATTAGTGGTTCATAATTGGGATTCATTTAAACTTCACTCCACATCAAGGCCACATTTAGAAGTGACTTGGAAATTCAAATCAGTTACCCATAGGCTAAAAAAAATAGGTAAAGCTATCCCTATAACAGGCCGTGGAGGCCCATAGGGCTGTGAGACATCGAGGCTCCCACATTATCTAGACAATCGGCTCACAGATGGCGGTGAGGTTGTTCCGCCTTACGCACTGGCCGCTCTTCACACTCAGGAAACTTCCTGGTACTCATTTCTGTTAGAGGATGAGCCGACCCAGGACCATAGTGCGGCTGGAAGGATTAGGTCAATTTATTAATCCAATAACCACATCGGGAATCGAACCCTCAACCTTCCTGCTTGTATCATAGTGCCTCAACCATATACTGTGTGCCCCAGTCACCTCCACATCACATACTAACATGTGGAAAGAAAAAATGGTTTTTCTTTAGACCAAACTTAGTTTCAAAGAAATATACAGAGATTAAACAACACACATGGCATTAACATAACAACTGATATGTACAACTCTCAAATAAAATGTATTTTTTTTTGTTGCCTGATATTTTTAAACATAACCTCCAACAAAACTTCAGGTATACCATTCAAGAAAGCAGTGCAGATAGTTCCTTGCATGCAACCTATGCACATCTGTTCAGCTTATTAAAATGGTGAAACCTCCTTACCTGCATCTCAATTCGGGAAAATTCTATGTCGTGTACAAGCCGCTCCAAGTTCTCCAGCTGACCATCAGTCTTTTGAAGAATTTGCTCTTGGTATCTCTTTTTCCTCAGCAGTAACTTCGCACGACTGATATAAACATAAGCAAAAACAAAATGCTGTGACACATCTTTACTATGTTAAAATTATTCTACAGAAAACTAATGAATATCACTGATAAAAACTTATTCATATATTCATGACATATTCAAATTTAATATTTAAAAAAAAAGTTATGTGTGTGCCTAAACATAATTCTGTGAAGGCACCCAGGAGCATGGAGGTAAGCTCTACATATTATTAACTTTGGCTTTACATAGCACGTTGTCAGCTTCACTCAAACCATCGTGAAAAAAAAAAAAACATCTATATGCATTTGTTAGACTGGACAGGCCCCAGCTGCACAGCACATAAGTGACCATTTTAATGACTGAGTTGTCCCATTAAAATTCCATAATCATGGCACATACTGAAGATATTTTAAGTATATCCAGACTGAAATATTACTAAGTAATAAATTTGGCTTCTATCTCTGTTTATCTCCACCAGAGGCCTGAAGTTGTGGAAGGCTATGAACAGGGAACCCTGTGCCTGGGGCTACAGCTGGGCCACCCTGTTCCTGGGGGATATAAATACTCATACAGGGACCTAATCCTCCAGGTTGGCAGTTGGAGAGAAGGCTGACAACCTTGCTCTGTAAAAAAAAATTAGTTTTGATATCAAAAGAAGTGAAAACTGTATCAAATCTGGCAGAATTTTTTAAGGAAGTCTATGGCTCAAAATGTGCTGTTCTGCCAAAGTGATGACGATGAGTTTTGTTCATCACTTTCATTTTCATATTTTGCCTTCTGCTACTCAAATTCTACCCATATGCACTTCACTCTGCTGCTTGCTACAAGTCATCCATGCAATGCACAGAATCTAGCCACCACATAAAAAATACTTGCTAAAAGTATGAAACAGATGAACACCAATACAAGATAATGTAAATACCAAGCAGAACCTTAATACTTTCAGGGATAATTCAAACATTTAAAATTATAGTAAAACTACGAGACATGGCATTTATAAATGTGCATCATATAAACATGTAAGTAAAAACTCACTCTTTCTTTCCATCTTGCAGTAGTTTCCGTGCAAGTTGTCTATCTTTTTCCAGAGTTTGTTCTATTCTCTTCTGATATTGCTTTATTTTATCTCTCTGTTGCTTGAGTTGCTAAAATTAAACATATGAACATACCATACTGTAAAGCAATTTACTTTTATAAAATACATTTATAATTAAAACTTACAAGCATTAAATAAAGACACAAATAAAATAATTCAAACCTAAGATGGTTCCCACATTACCAATGCTATTGCACAAAAATTACATATCTTACCAAAACAGCTCTGTCGTATTCTGTAACCCTACTCTGTGGCTTCTTACTTTTACCAAATAAGATCCCCATTTCAAATTGGACAGTTTATACTTATATGAAATTGTTTATGTCACAGAAGCTGTATTAAGTCGCACACTTCTTTGCTAAGCACAGTATAATTCACATGCACATCTTTACTACACCCAACCTGAACAGCTGATTGACAGTCAACATGTGAACCATGTGAACAGACTACTCACCTATAGAAGCGTTAACTGGAATGTTTGTGGGCAACGTAGCCCCATGACCAATGTGCTGCCACCTATACAATTTACCAGAAACAGAACGGCAATGTAGATGATGTAACCAATAGCTCAGTTGGTAAGGTTACCATATCTTCGACCTACAAAAGTACCTTGCGTCCCGCACCCTTTTTCAGTAGAAGCTATGTGGGTAATATTCAACGAATTAGAAACCCTGATATCTCTGAGAAATGTAGATTAAGGTTTGCCAGTAACATGAGTTCCTTCGAAGAACTGAATCAACAGCAATCCATATCTCCCTTACTGACAACGGTAAAACTGGTTAATAAGACTACGGACAGTTGACGCTGGTGGTACCAATAAATGTTGGATGATATGATAATTAATAATTATGGAGCAATTGGTGGAATGAGAAATGACAGGGGAAACCGAAGTAGCCTGATAAAAGCCGTCCCAGTGAAACTTTGCTCATCACAAATGCCTAACCCGACCTGGGACCGGACTGCGACTAACTGCCTGAGCTGTGACACGACAAGTCGTTGAGACGCATAAACCCACAGTTACATATATCTGCACATCTCAGTTTATATAATTTCTGGTACGTCTGTCTGCCGATTGAACTCTCTCTTGACCCTGTTATCACTCTATTAATCGTTTACAATTGTGATGCCCTTGCTCTGAAACCTCACGACTAGCTTCAGTGTTTCGAACAAAACTGGGAGGCTACCACGTCAAACCAAACTCTGAGTGCATTAGAGGGATACATAAAGACATAAATTACTTAATCGAGGTGTTGAATGCGTTACTAAAGTATTCTTTATGTAAACATGCGAAACTGTACGTGACGACACGTTACATGGGCACACAGTAATATCGTCTTAACATTTCTTGTCTTACAGATGGAATCTTTAACATATTTGGTACAAGAAACAGTGCCACCAGTTTATTTCTCAATCCACCTTCTGCTGCAGGTATTGGATGTCGTACTGCAGATCTTCTGCCTTCCATTCAAAGAAGAGAAAGTTGGCCTTGGAAAGGTGTGTATATATCAGTTATATCTCTGCAAATATGATTGTTATAGTAATATACTTGGCTAAAGATCCAGAGGTCCAGGTTCGATTCCCGGCGCTACCAGATTTTGTGAGAAGTAATGGTTCTGGAACGGGGTCCACTCAGCCTCGTGCGGATAATTCAGGACCTATTTCAAGGAAATAGCGGCTCCGGTCTAGAAAACCGAAATTAACGGTCGTGGGGATTCGTTGCTCTCACCACGCGACACCCTCTCCCTGCCAAAGTTGGCACTAACTTCGCCGACAAGCGGCGGTCGCTCAGTCAGTATAGTTCGCTTGCGGACTAAAACAACGGATTTTTTTTGTTGCTTGATATTACCATTAACTCTACTTATCAACACCTAATTTAAATGATTTGGTTGGGGGAGAACATACAGAGAAATTATTTATAAGCTACGAAATTGATTCGTCTAGAAGTAAATTAGGATAAAACTAAATATAGCCCATATGAACTTAACACGAAACCAGAGTCTGAAAGATAGAACTGAGAAATATAAGGAGATTTGGAGAAGTATAATTATTTTAAGAAATATTTTTTATTAATCCGGAGAATATTGTGATCGCGTCCATTTTTCGAAACATGCTATGAGGTTCCATAGGCTACTTACGGGCGTACAATAATTTTTCGACTTTTTGCAATAGCATATGTTGTATGTACCAGAATTTCGAGCGGAGAACACACACAAAAATTGAATTAAAAAGCCTTCGCGAAAGCGCTTGGAGCTTAGAAGAAATTAATCGGCCACTGAAGATATTTCGTCATCATCTACACGCCTCACGTAGTGTTGTTAGGGGAGTGAAATCTGGGACTTACAGTTTTGATGCACGTAACTTGGATAGGGGAAAGCACACACATATAAATATGTTCTAAGGATAAAAGATGAGTGAAAATGGTTCAAGATCGTGTCCAATAGCGGGCTTCTGGGTTAGCGATGTTTAACCTGTAGCTACTTCTACTGGTTATTCAGTTACTTAGTTAGCTAGATTTTTAATTAGTTGGTCAGCCTGTATGACAAGGGCATTAGCTATTACAACACAGATAAACTTGAAAGATGACGCTTATTATAAATTTAATCATAATTCCTGACTCGGTAGGGTGTGCAGTATTCAAATGACAGTCATCATGGTTAACAACTGAAAAACCGCGGTAGATGCATTCGGAGAATTCTGGATTTGGAATGGGGAGAAATGATGTCCAGCTCAACCCTGTTTAGGATGAGACTTAGGTTAATTTCTGTGTAATTAAACGCAAGTATCGTGTCTATAAGATTATAAAATTCCCACTTCCCATGTACGTCCGTTATAGTCTTGAAGAGATTAATAATAGTAACGTAATTGTTCTCATTCAGTTTAACGAGGAAGAGTAAAAAACTGACTGGAAGTCGTAAAGTACAGAGATAAATTTGTTGACCTAGGCACACATGGGAAGGTAATATTAAGCCAAATGAAGATTATAATCTTTTTTGATATAATGACGTGTATTACGGGTATCTTACTTACTTACTTACTTACTCATGGAGCTGATCCCTTCTTGAGGAGCCGCCAATTCTGCACCTACTCAAGAATTTTCCAGTATTTTATGGAACCCGAAGTTTCATCATCGTGTTCACAAGAACCCTCCACTGGTCCCCATCCTGAGCCAGATTTTTCAATCCATACTATCCCATCCTATCTCTCTAAGATCCATTCTAATATTGTCCACCCACGTACGGGTATCTGTCTACCAAACTAAATGTCGTCGCATTCCAGAGAGTTGTGATCTTCATATTCACAGCCATAAGAACTTTACATCTTGTGGGGACAGGGCAACGAATATTCGGGTTCCAAAGAGGAAGGAATTTCTTGCCCAGTTGAACGACTATTATCTTTCTAGGAAGGGTATTACTGTGCGAAGTTCGTCAATTACAGCAGAATTTAATATGACGCTTCTGTCCCACGCAGGAAATGACATTACGAGAAGCTGCTATGACAGGTGACCTCATTTCAGTCGAGCTCTTACTGAAGGCGGGCAAAGACCCATCAGAACGAGACAAGGAACACTACACGCCTCTACACTGGGCTGCTGCTAAGGGACATAAAAAAGTCGCAAAGAAACTTCTTGAAGTCGGTGCCGGTCTGGAAGTGAAAGGAGGACGGTTCCTGTTCACTCCATTACATATGGCAGCAGGAGAAGGTCATTTCGGCACAACTCAGTTACTCCTTGATGCAGGAGCCCAAGTAAACTCCTTTGATAAGTTCTATGACACCCCCATGCACTGGGCAGCTTGGTTCGGTCATTTGTCAGTGTTGCAGTTTCTTGTTGAAAGGGGCGGAAATTTCTCTGTCATGAACAGAGATGGTAGCACACCGCGGGATATGGCGTCACTTAGAGGAAACGTCAATATCGTTCAGTGGCTGGACGGAATGAAATTCGTTACGTAGGACGTGGTTTCTAAACCACGGTGTCGCGTCGTTTTAATTCAAATGCGTATTCTGCATATTTCACAGTTTTACTAGATGTGGTAATAATAGTGACATGCTTTTACATTTAAGTTTGCTTATAACTATTCGTATACATTTACAGTTCAAATATTCTGATTTACTACAATGTAGAATATGCTCAATAAGCTGGTCACCTTTTATCCTTGTAATACAAACTCCACTGTTGCTCGAAGAGTTGCCTAGCAACATAGGTCGTTAAGGTTTACAGCACGTACCTTTCATGCGTTTCCTTAGTGCCAGTCGACTGGTTTAAGGGATCCCTTTTCAGGAATAAATTTCGTAAATGAAGCAGTCCCCCGAAGAAATGAGCATATCAGCTAAAAGTGTTGATAAAGTATTTATTATGGCATAAACAGGAGATGGAGGAATTTCGATAGTTACGTCTTCAAAATAGTGTGTATGTTGCATCTGAGGTTATCACGGCGGGAAATATGCAGTGTATTTCTACGACGCGGCGCCGTGTAATCTGGGAGAAGTTTGACGACGTGTCGGGGGAATATAAGTATATTATCTTCATATCATTGAGCCTAATATTGGAAGCAGTACGTCTCTTCTTCTTCTGAAACATCTGTAAAATTCAACCACATTAAATGTCATGTCCAAAAGTTTGCTACTCTTCACAGTGTATTACTACTATAATAAAACAATAAAATATTAATGTTTTGCTTGAAAAAGTTTCAACTTTTTGCTAGGTAAAACACATTTTAATGAAATTGAATCTACTCGTCAAGATGGGTTGTAAAATACGCTGTACAATATTCTTCAAACAGTAGTTACAAATTTTTGTCGGGTAGAAAGTCCCACTGGCGATAAAGGTATGGATTGCAATGGTATGTGTCTAAAATGAGTCACCGAAGTCGGTCGCCTAGTCAGTTACTGAGTAATTTATAGGTGGCAGCACGCTCAATAATAGCCAACTAATTTTATACACCAAACTTGCTACGTTGCAAAATTCATGCATGTCGTTTTAATTATAATTTCGAAGAAGATGGATACCTTTATTCATACCCTTATTCGTAATTTCACTTCTCTCTTAGAGATTCATTTCATTTCAGAGAAATTTCTGCTATGGTTGGCTAGCATGTGCTAGAAAATCCATAGTATTGTTTGGATTTACAAGTGATTTCGTATAATAATTAAATAGTATTAAGTTACTAGTATGGGGTGACAAAATTCTTAATGTAAATAATATATCTATATGGATTTGTGTTGTGTCAGTGTACGAAATGGAAACAAAGAGAGCGTTGTCAACTAAGTGGGTATTTCTAATACAGTTAGCATTGCTTATTGTGTGTGCTGTGCAGTGTAGTGAAGTTTGTGAAATTCATGCAACAATAATTCGCCGTATTGAAAATGATGGTTTCCATAGGTAAGAACCCATAAATGTATCAGTAATTATTAATTACGTTCGTTTCTTATTATGTGCACTCTAGGTATATGATTTGTCAGTGACTTATGGACATACAGTAAAAGCATTGGCATTGTACTAAAATCATATTTACTGTTGTAGGGATATACATTCCTTGGTGGAAATAGTAACTGGCTCTTCCACCCCATGGGGAGATTGTATGGTGATATTAGAAGAAACCATGCCCAGTGGCCTCTATGTAAACCCTGACCAGCTGGCAGATATGCGAAGTTTCGGACACGTATGATCTTAGATTATGAGATTTTATATTAGTAGAGGGCCAACTTTTGCACAGTTTTTCGTGAACGGCCCATAAAACAAACTGAATAATTGGGTTTAGATCTGTCTGTGCACAAATGTGTAGAACATCAAAATTCTGAAATGACAGGAAAAAAAAAGCAGTAAAAAACAATACCACATTTTCATTTATTTTGATAAGGGAAGGGTAAGTAGATGAATTTGTGGTCAATATTTGTGATACTATGTTGAGCAGGAATGTCTGTAGCAGGGATTGTCAACAAGCCAGACATCTGTCTCCTCCCTTGCGTTTTGGAAAAAAAAAAAATCAAAAATGAAAAAGAAGAAAAAAGTATGAAATAGTAATACCAACAATTAAAATTATTTTTGAATTTGGTATTGTTTATATCACAATATAGAGCCTCACAGCTCTACAGCAATCCATAAAAACATTCTTAAACAGCTTGAACCTAAGTCTGTAAGCAAATTTTCTGGGTCCCCTGCCCCATGGAAAAGAAATAATCCTGGTAGTGCGTATGTGTAGGTAATCCATCCTCTCTGATAGTACTGAGATCAGTAACATTTCTCACATTTCTCATTACAGGTGCAGGCTTGTCCTGTTGGCATTGTTGACATAGAAGCATCCCAGAAAGATTCACTCCCTCATTCAGTGCATGTGTACTCCAGTCTAAATCACACTGAGAACCTTTTGTCTGCCTCACTAACATTGCCATTTCACATACGGTATCACAGCCCTATTCCACGTGGGGGCTATTCCACGGTGCAATTGGGAGCTCCGTCCCTACTGCTCCATTGCCAGAATGATTTGCAGTGTGTGCACGGGAAAAGGGTCCGTGCCCCATGTGGACCTTGCAGCCGAGAGCTGTGCCAATGGGTCAGTCTTCTATATAAGACAGTAAGTGTGAGTGAAATAACAGTCTTCATACATACAAATCAAAATCATCACATGAATATCAGTTTGGTCTCTTTTGGTCCACTGCTGCATGTTAACATTTTTCTCCACTGTTCTACCTTGCCATGTACTGGTACTTTGTTCAGACTGCCATATCTGACTTAGGCTGGCTAGTAACATGCTGTGACAAAAAGAAATTTCAGAATGTGTTCTGAGCACTTCCTGCTCACCAGAAGGAGCATGTACCTCATATCTTTTGTGGCCCTCAGACATATGTAGATCGTTTGCTGTTTATTTCATTACTGTGAAGTACTAGAAATCGCAAGTGTACTGCATAAATAAGATGGCTGAGGTGGCAGAAATACTGGGAATAAGCAAGGACTGTCCAACTTCATCATGTACTTCACATGCAGCCTTGCAGTTGGTTTTGTGTGGCCCATAAGAGTATCCTTCCATTCCCCAAAATATGTTTTAATGTTTTCCTTCTATTTAAAACTGGTCTTGAATCCTGTCAAAAGAAAATTTATAAAAAATACTTAGTGCTATTAATTATTCCAAGTATGTGTGGTTTTTCAGTTGATTTTACATGACATCAAAATTAGAAAAGTATAGAATTGGTGATGATTGTTATTGGCAAACCTGTAGGTGCCTGATTTTTAAGCACAGTGAGGCCAACATACATTTGTATCAGTACATCATAAAAGCAATCGTTATAATGTAGTCTGCAGGGCTACTTTGTTGTTTTTGCTGTATTTGTTTATTCTTAACTAATAAATCTAATTGATGCTGATACTGAAAGCCCTCCCTCACCTCCTGTTGACAGAACTCTCTAAGTATCAGCCTGCATGTTCCTGTAGGCAACTCATCGCATCACGCCCTCGTCATAATAGTGACTCTTCTTGTGACATGCGGAGGGTGCGTTTATATTCTGTCTGCAATTGCCGAAGCCTGGCCCCACGCTACCAACATGACAAGAAAAGGGTGTACCGAAGAACATTCTGAACTGCCGTCAACATTGTCTCATTGGCCTGATTCTTGTATTCCATCACATCACTGAAGCGACATGTCAAAGAGTTTGAAGACTGATGGCAAATGGCAGCTTTTCATAGCATTTATAGTCTTGTAAATTGTTGGTAGAATTGTGTTGTGTTCATAAGTAGCCAGAACGTTCTTGAACACAAGAAGCACTTTATAAACTCAGATCTCATCACTATATTACCAATCGTGAAGGTACATTAGAACTTCACATGTGTCAAGATCCAACCCCCACTTTACAGTTATGGAACATGTAGGACTACAATTAAAGTTGTTAGAATTGTATCGACCATTTACATTCCATACCTTATCTGTTAATAAAGTTCTCATAAATGGGTCTGTGAAGAGCACATAAAAGAAATGATGTTAATGAAGGATGCCAGATCTCAAAAAGAAGTATATTTATATATATTTTATAGGTATCAAGTGAAAAACGGTTAGTTCTAGGAAAAGAGTTTTCAGAATCTAAAATGGTTGTTTTATTAAACTCTTAATCTCTGCTACTGTTGTCTGCATTTTTTCTTTATCCACATAATAGTTATTTCAGGTGACGCTGTAGTATGTATTATACAATTTGTCAATTAACTAGAACAGAAATAGACATTGATAATATTGGTCGATTTTTTATATCTCTGAAGCAGTTCATGTTAAATTACAAGTTAAAATAAGGTTCAATAACGCCATCTTCTGGGATGTGGCACCATCTAGATCTTGTGTGAACTGATGATTCGAAGGGACATATCGTCTCCCTCTTTAGGATAGAAAAATCCATGAGTGAGGAACCAGCTTGAGCAGGTGGCCTCCAAAACATCAGTTCACACAGGATCTATGTGGCGCCACATCCCAGAAGACGGCATTCTTTGTAGTCACTTCTGTGAAAACCTCAGATCTTATAAAATAATGTTGACTTCCTATTTATGCTGCCACAAAGGTCGATATACTGATTCGTAAACTGGATGAGATCGACCTGATTTCTGGCTGGTGTCAGGAGAATTTTTCTCTCACCACATCCAGAAATGTTCTGGGCTTATACAGCCTCCTACCAAATTTAGACCATAGGATCTTTTCCTGTAGGAGGGGTCACCACAGTTTGAAACTGACCATTTGCTTTTATCTAGTCATTAGGAGATTTACGTCCATATTCTTCGTGAAATTGCGCTAAAGCACTGAAATAACAGTACAGTTTCTACATTGTAAATTTATAAACAGAAGTTACATGATTATTGGGCGCTCTAGATAAAGCTAGTATTAAAAATGTTTTCTGTAGCAAAAGTTGTTGTTGAGGAGTGCCTTGGTTTTCCATAAGTCTAACTTATTTCTTTCATATTGCAGCATTTAGATGAAGAACAGCCTTTTGATCAAACAGAGAAGAATAACACTTTGTAAAATTGAATTAATGTATATGGAAAAATAAATGTATGAACCCTTAAGAGATGTTATAATGTAGTATGAACTCAGCCCTCACATGTTAAGATTTGTAAATGCATGTTGTTTTATTACACTGAACCTGTGATGGTGATCTTGTGTAAGGGGAGCATGTTACTCTTAGTGTGCTGATTACATTGTGAGAGGCAGAGCCCCAACCAAGAACCAATAATGATAATGTATGGTCTGGTGCAGCCTGTTACACATCTGAGGTGTGGCATGGAGCATTGAAACTGTAAAAGTTAAGCATGTGCAGATGGAGTTACCTCTCCAGGTATGAAATTCATACCAAGGTCAAATGAAAACGTGAGTGTTATACACCTGATGATGGCCGTCTGAGGCCGAAACATGTAGTGTAGAGGAGCAAGATCAAGGACACATAATATATTTTTTTGCACTTGGGACGGAGTTTGTATCATTATATCATTCATCACATTAAAACATTCCTTTTTTATTTATCAATGAGGGACAGACATGCACACAAATTTATTTCTCTTTGTAGCAGATCAAAAATAAGGTGAAGATATTGTCCAAAACAATTTCTGAATAATAGTTTATTATGTGATGCAATATAAAATATTTACAATATGTACAAATATCTTTGTTGTTGCATTGTACGTTGTTCTGTTGTACTGTTCTTGCTGCATCAGGTATGAAGAGCTGCAGGAGATACTGTCTGACTTCCATACAACATGTCATGGTACACTCCATACTTCAGCATTGCAAGAAAGTACTATGTTAAGGCAATCACAGATACTCATCACAACTTTTTGTCTTCATGTGTTTCCTTCATACCAATGTTTTGTGCACGATCTGTGTCTTCTGCAATACAACAGATTATAGAATGCATATATACTTCAAGCAAAAGTGAGATGACTGTTTCATCTTCTCAACTCACTGATAAACTGAAGAGAACTGCTTACCAGTTAATATTAAATTACAAATATCCATGTTGATTCACATCAGACCTTTCAAATAGGAAGACATTTTGATTTCTGTGTATTTCTTGTAGGAATTACAAGAAGTGAACAAGAGTTGTAGAGGTTATGTCTGTCCATTCAACCACATGTTTCATATCTCACACAGCTAAATTGACTTTTGATAAATACTGGTATTGTTGCCAATTAAGAAATAAAAACTGCCAGCAAGATTACTATGGAATTAATTAAACAACTTACCTAGAATATCCCCTGGTACACTATGAATAATATACTGTATTTAAGCTTCTTGTTACAGAAATATCTTGTGAATTCTAATTGGAATAATACGCATATTTAATTACATTCACTTACTTGGTGGATCGGGTTCATTCCAAGGTTGGATTTCAGCTTTGCCAAATAACACAAAAAATAGGTTACCAGCAAAGTAAATGCCAGACGAAATATAGAACACAGTTTTCCACTGTGTTGCATCATTCTGTAATTACAACCATAGACATATATATTAAATAAGGAAGAAATAAATATATAACATGACTAACTACATGCTGCATGGACTTCTTGAAAAACTGAAAGTTATCTCAAATCATTAAGAAATACTCCCCCTATATAGGTTTCACAGGTACATTATAACATTTACAGAATCCAGTGAATCCATTCTGCAAATTTACAATATCTTAATTTTAGTTCTACTCTCACCTAACTGGTCTCTTGCCTTGAAGTTTTCTGACCAATATCTTGCAGACATTTCTAATTTCCCCCATATGTCCTACATATCTCACACATCATCCTTGATTTAAACATTTTAACAGTATTCAGTGAACAGTACAAATTATGAAGCTTCTCATTATGTAATTTACCCCAAAGAAGTAAATGCCTGTAATTTCATTATGTGAATAACAGTTTTACATAAAACTCACCTCATCTGTGACTATGAATCCTACAACGAGTGGAGCAATAATAGACATGATGTTTGACAAGCAGTTAGTGATTCCCATCATAGTACCAGAATAATTTGGAGATAAATCAATGTGATTCAGCTGGAAACCAACGTAAGCAGCAGAGTTGACTCCTACTGCAAGTGTAAGCAATGCCACAGCCGCTGTGGTGTCATCCGTGCTAGACAAGGTTAGTCCAATCAGTGCTAGTCCAGGAATCCAGTGTCCTATGAGCAGCATATGAATGTGATTACACACAAAACATCTGAACTGAATCATATTGTTGTTGCCTGGATTATGACACATTGTAGTCTGATAGGTGGATATCATGTATCAGTGAGCATGAGCAGTTCATCACAAAGGAATAAATGCAATGAACATGAACTCTTCACATCACTCCTCAGTAGGAGTGTCAAGAAGTGAAAATACTCGAGTAATAGTAAGAGGTTATCAGGTATTATGAATTTTGTTTGTAATATCCTCAGTCTCTTCAGGCAAATAAAGGCCAAAACTTCTTAAACAGGCCAAGATCACCTTCCATCCTTATCCACTCACTAGTTTTACTTAAATACGGTGTATATGTATGTTCTCCACATGGCCCAGTTTTGTTTATATGTAAAGAAAATCCTGAAGTGGATTTACATGTGTAGTAAGCAACAACTTCTCAAAATGCCAGTGTTAAAAATCTATAGATTACACAAGATGCTAGTATCTGTCTTAAATGAAATAAGAATATGAAGTTTAAAATTCAGGTGCAGAAATGAAGATCAAAAATTATTATCAATAACAAAAAACTGGGCAGATGCCTGAATTTTAAATAATATACCAACAAGAGAGAGATGTTATATTAAAATTAGCTTAGTTTCAGCTTATGTGTGGGGCCGTGAGATGCACAGTAATATAGAAGCCAATCCAGGAGTAAAACCATTATTCAGTTACGGGTATAGTTCTAGTCTTAACATTTGGGAGTGAAAATTTGGGCACTGAATAGAACTAATGAATGAAGAACAGAATTCACAGAGATGATATTTTTAAAATTAACAGACAGCAAAGAATAATAATATTCAAAGAGAACAAAAGACCCATAACCTCAATAAAACATAGAAGTACTGAATCAGAAAAGGAAGAGTGGAAACATCTTGTAAGAATTCAAGACAAGTGAATTCTAAAACTTCTGCTATTCTACAGTCCTAAAGGACATAAAGACGTGGGTCATACAAGAAGATGGAAGGATTATTTCTTTCAAAAATGTAACAGGCCATGGAACTATGCCATGTAGCTAATGGGAATAATGATATCTAATATTCAGAGAATATTTAGTAAAACTTACCAATACTATTGAATATTTTTCTGGATGTACCAAGTGATATTATCCGCCTCGTGTTGAGAAAATCTGATGCCCAACTGAAGACAAAACTCATCAGCCACATAACAAGGTATGGTAGAGCTGACAAAAGACCATTCTGTAATAATATACAATATCATGAATAATATAATGTGCATATTGTAGCCTTCTGTGTTCAACCCTGAAGGCAGAGTAATTATGTTCCTTTAAAATGTTGGTAATCATTATCAGACTACAGCATGGTGTCATAGTCCAGAGGATCACAATATTAATCTTCACAGCTGTAAGAACTCTAAACCTTACAATTGTAATGTTCTCATCCTATCCATCATGAACATTGTGGAAAATTTACACATTTTTCATACACATTATAGAGAAACTTTTGCATGGTCACATACTGAAAATTTGTAATTATATTCTGCCACATACAGAGCATGGGATACATTTCAACTGGGCATCTGATAAATACTGTTATCTTAAAATCTTTCAACCCTTTGCCATTGTTGGTTTGGTGGCTGCTTGGGAACACCAGTTGCTGATGGTTGTTCAGTGCACTCTCTGGCCCTTACCAGGGCCATTTAACCACTGTCCCTGTCTATTGCCTTACTGGCTTGCACAGGGCTCCAGCCCCCCCCCCAATCATTGTTCTGTAACAGAAACCTGTACATACACTGCAGCTTACCCACCCATTTAGACTTTGAAGGTGGAGGCAATGGACCCCCAAAATGTTGGCAACACTTCCCCTGTCCACAAAGTGTAAAGACCAAGAGCTGAAGTAACCTCAGCTGTTAGAATATATGTTTAAACTGAAAACTATAACTTACTGATTTGAGGTCAAACTTGAGGATGGAATTCATGTAAGATGGCATCTCTGTAAGCAAAGTCCAGAAACCCCAGTTCTGGCCACAGTGGGCAATGACTACAGCCCACATGGGCAGTGAAGTGAAAATGTCAATCCAAGGGGTCTGACGTTTCTATAAATTAAAAATGTTATTAGTGTCATAATTAAACCTTAATATACTGGCCAGTGAAGATTTGCTTTTCATAGAATTCAGCGACATTATACTTCAGAATTTACACAGTGTAATAACAGTAGCATTTTACAACGTTCAGAATTCTCATCAGTCATTTAGTGTTCAACTAACCTAAACCATGATGCTATTATGACTTAAAGGTTCTTGGCTTTTCCTCCCATAATGTGAAACTTAACTGCTGTGAAAGCCTCAGATCTGTTAGAGCAGAGTTAGTATCATTTGAAGAGTACTGTTCTCTGCAATATTACACCAAGCACAAAGCAGGCAGCTTAACTTGCCTCCTATTTGCTTATTTAATTTTTGACTCTGAAGATGGAGACAGTCTGTTCCTCTGAAACATATGTAAATTTACCAGACTGGCATCCCAGAAAATAGCATTCTTCTGAGTTGCCATTGAGAGAACTTCAAATCTAGCTTACACACATTTTATAGTGCTTTAATTTAAGTGACTAATTAGCCACCTGGTTGATATACTAATGGACTAATTAACCAAACAGTTCCATAATATAGGCTTCTTTAGACAATTCACAGTTATTCATTTGTCATGAAATCCAATATTGATAACAAGAGCTACCAATATAATCTAAATTAGTCCAATCCAGTTCATTATTTGAATTTAAATTTACTAGAAATTTAAAATACAGGTCTTGCAAACAAGAACTCTTCAGGATACCAAGATATTCCCTACAAAATCATCCTTGTCTGATCACATTGTTATATTGATGAAAAATTCTCAGCCAGACAGCTACATTAATTTTAAGTTAAAGTCCAACATTTTTTAGGCCTTCTTTGCATTCTTTGATTTTGAAGACAGAGACTTTCATCACTATGAAACCTTCCAGTCTTACTCGATGCTGTTTTATATCACAAACCAGTAGTTCATCCAACAAGATCATCAGTGTCTCAGATTAACCCTGGAGGCTCATTGTTATATAGGTGCCTATTACATGAATGTGAACTACCACATACCATGTTGGTGGATAATGTGGAACCAAGGTTGGTCTCAATGTAAGCTTTTTCTGCTTTTGAGATGAACCTGTGAGTGGCAGGTCGGTCTGCTCCAAGAAACACCCAAAGAAGAACCCAGCATATACCCAGCGCACCAAATATGTAGAAGATAGATGGCCAGCCTATTGATGAAGATGCAAGAGCCCCAGACAAAGGCATGGCTATGATGGTCCCAACTTGCCCTCCTGTAAAAATAGAAGATACCAATTAATGTTCCAGTTTTCAAAACTTGTTATATGCTCTCTTTCCAGTTAGTGTCTTACAAATACAATTACACTTCATTCCTGACAGAGTATTATCTCATTCATTTTCTGACTTCATCCAATTCTGAAAATAATTTCCCAATATTTTTAACCTTCTCCTAACCCTATTCAGACAGTTTCCAGCTTCACATCTGATCTTAATAAAAAGTAAAGTAAAGCTATCCCTGTACCAGGCAGTGAAGGCCCATAGGGTTGTGAAACGTTGAGGGTCCCACACTATCTAGACAATCGGCTCAAAGATGGTGGTAAGGTTGTCAGCCTTACGCGCCGGCCGCGCTTTACGCCCCAGGAAAATTATTAATTAATTCCTCCTACTCACTTCTGTTAGAGGCTAAGTAAACCCCAGGGCCTAGTGTGGCTGAAAGGGTTAGGTCAACTGAAAAAATCCAATGACCCCTCCAATGACTCCATAGCCCCTCAACCAACTACGCTACCATGTGCCCCCACATCTGATCTTAATATCTAATCTAAAAAAAAAAGGAAGTTCAGGGAAGGAGAAATCGCCTAATTTACCTTGATACAACATGGTCTGCATGAAAAATTATGTATCCAACAATTCTTCTTTTGTTGTGTGTGTATTCATTGCCATGGTAATGTTTTTACTGAGCCATTGCCTAGCAACAGCAGGGGTATATGCATACAGGCACACAAATTGATGGGAAGGATTTGTGAAGTATATCACTCTGATGGTCTCAGGTGCCATGATATACATACCAAGTTTCATAAAAATTGGTTCTGGCATTCAAAATTTGATATAGGGGGGATTCACAGTCACAGACAGACAGCATAGTGGCCTCATAAGCCTACTTCTATTTCTTCAAAAGAAAGAAAGTAGGCTAAAGATTAGATATTTTACATTGTTGCATGTTTAGATAAATATTTCAGAAATGTCAGTGAAATGAACACAATCCACAAATATGATTTGAGGTTCTCATAGCAATGTCTGTGAGGATTACTATCTTCTACAGCATGATGCTGTGTAGACAGAAATTTACAGATGTTTCAGAGGAACATATTGCCTCTATCTTCATGGTTGATGAGTAAGCCAAGGGGACAAGGAGGAAGCGGTGTGCAGAGTCACTGCTTGGTGCATGATTGTTCAGCAAACTCTTAGATTATGAAGATGGAGGCATTGTGCTCCTCCGAAATGTTGGTGAAGTTCTGCCAGACTGCATGGCATCATATTCCAGATGACAGGACTCTTCACAGTCTACATATATCGTAATCTATCTAATCGTCAAGAAGTTTGTGAACTGTTCAATATGTGCAACTAATGGGACAGGAGGAAACAAACCCTTTTAAATATTGAATCTGAGGTGGGCTTAGCTGAAGGTAGAACCCCAAAACACATGCATTATAGTGATGAGTGGCTAGTGAAAGAATAACACAAACAGCATAGTTTTAGGCAGGTTCCAAACCTGTAACCCCCAGCTTCCAAACTTGAAATTACTCTAAAGAAATTAACGAATGAATTAACCAATCAATCAAAATCAGTTACTTTATACATCATTCTACACCCACCTGCATATACATATGTGCCAAATCTGCCTCGTTCCTCAGTGGGAGTCCAGCTGGAGAGAAGAGTGTGGATGGATGGAAATATGAATCCCTACAAGACAGAAAACAGTCAGTAACTAACTGTGTGTTCTGTTGTAACTCTTTGCAAAATGAAGTACATAACTCAGTTCTGGAAAACTGTCCATTCTAAACATGAAAAAATGTGTGTAAGATTTGATATATCAGGTTCTCATGGCAGTGAATATGGAGTTTATTGTCTTTTATGATGTAATACTGAGTAGTTTAGTTGCTGTTTATTATGAGTTTCATATGATTCTCAGAATAAATGGTGATTAGTTATTTATCTAACAGTTGAAACTTTTAATGGAGGTGTAATGTTTTATGAGGTGGAAACTCTGTGTATAGATATTATTTAGAGGAATTTCATGGTTCTCATCACAAACCATTATTTCTCACCATTTTAAAATCTGATCCTCTTTCTTCCCCTGAAATAAAGTAACTCACTTTTCCCATTACATTCCTTGCTTACCTATTCTTCTACAACTTTCTCTTCCATTCTCTTATAATGTTTCACAAAACTTGGAATTTAATGTGAATCAATATATTTTTGCCTTGAAGACTGGGGCTAATGGACATTGGCCAGGGCCAGGTACACCCATACAGGAAACTGATGCACTAAGCCATGTATGCCCCCCTGATTTACTGCCTCACTCTTTAATGCTTCAAAGGGTTGAATGACAGTATGATCTTCTAGAGCTTCGTGTTAGTATGATCCATGTAAATGTTACCCTTGCTCCAAAATCTGCAATAAAAGACTTACCTGAGCCAGTCCTTGAATTACTCTTGTTCCACATACAAGACCCCAATCACCAACTTCTGCTGCCACTGGCAGCAGAATGGTGAACAGGGAGCATACAAATAAGGATCCTGTAAGAAGGATCTTTGGCCCAAATCTTTGGGCAAGTTGTCCTGCTGGTAACTGTGTTACAACATAGCCCCAGAAGAAAGAAGTTAATATATTTGCTTTCACAGTGTTGTCCCAATGGTATTCCTATAGGAAGAAAAATTCAATCTAAATAAATATCTTGGACTTTATTAGATACAACACTGAACGTCTTCTTAGGGCTCTTAAGCAATAGAGTTCTTTCATTTTGAAACCATAATAGTGAATATCATGTTTCTGTTCAGCTGTCTTTCCTTAATTCAACAGCAATCATTATGTGTATAGATATTAACTAATTTTCATGAAACTTCCATATGAACATCATGCACAATCTTGGAGATCTTGTCCACATCTTGGTATTCTTTTGCTCTATGGAATCAGTACTATCATGATGGTCACACAAACTTTGGACATGATAACAGCAATATTAAAACTCAGTGCAGGATTATGAAATTCAGTTAATGACAGATGTTTTTTAAGTAGATTCTTTTTATTAATCTAAATCATTTTTTGGAAACCAGGAAAACATCACAGTGTGATGACTAAGTTCATCATTTTCAGTTTTCAAAAATGGAATCAAAAGTAACAGTTGACTTTCAAGTTCTTCCCTTTAGAGACACACTTATCACAGTGTCAGTAATTAATTCCAAATATAAAGAATAAGAAAACTAACTTCCTTATTCTGGAACCAGCCAAGTGCTGGGTCAAAGCCCCAAATTTTAAGTCTGAGCATATAATAATGTGCTGCCTAGACAGGGCCATTGTACATTTCAGGTTGCAGTGATTCATGAGTATGGGCAATAGTGGGACAATGATTATAAGAAGAAACAAGGAGAAGCCCAGAGAACAACCTGCTCTAGTGCCATTTTGTCCCGGGACTGAATCTGAGGTTCTACAATGAGCAGACACAGCCTAGCCATTAGGGCTATGAAGGGACATTTAAGGGGAAGCAACTGAAGCAGTCACGCTAAGGCCTCCACGAAAGAGAAATAGAATCCACAGATTTTACTGAGACATTTGCTTCTCTAAAATTGCAAAAAGTTTGTTTGTACTTTTAGTTACTACAAGAAATTAAAAAAAAAAGATAATTTGTTGTTACTGAGAGGGGCCTACACATTGTGAATGTCCCAGGACCCCCACAACTGTATTTACGACACTAGAACTACAGCACAACCAATAATACAAATACTTACTGGAAAGTCAACCCCTGTCCCATTTCTGTCCATCATGGCCACAATTGCGACAGACAAGTTAACTCTCAGTGAATATGCAACAGCCAGGCACAAGAACATGAGCAGTATCTCCAAGTGCCTCACTCCAAACAGCCGGGCTGCAACAAGTCAACATTTCAAATACTTTTTACTAGCTTATAATCACCCAGCTAGTCAAAATATTACCTGCCATTTATGAAACCCAAAATGTCATAACCGTGTTTACAAGAATCGGCTACCGGTCAATATCATGAGCTCCATCACTTCAATTTTCGTTTTTCATCTCCCCATTCAGTTCTAAATGTTCAGACATATTCACCCTCCTTGATTTAATCACTCACTTAATATTGAATTACAAATGTAATCGTTCATATAATCAGTATTTAACTGACAACTATTTTGCACACACGTTATTTAAAATTGGGGGTCTCTTCAATAATCTATCCATTCATAACTAAAGAGCATTTCGGTAAAGGACAATGTAAATGAAATTAAATTAATGACAGCCTGCTTGTTGACTGGAGTAGCAATCAAACTGCACTAATGGATTCAAAATGAAACATTTTAAAACGACAGTGAAAAGGGGATATAGGCTAAAGTTGTCCCTTAATTTAAATAAGCACCATGTTATGAACATGTGTGAGGGAGTGAAGGTATGGCTCCATGAATCCTTAGCCTCAGCCCAGATGAAGGCAAATGGTAAACTTCACGCCACTTCTCACTGGGGAGAAAAGAGCCTGGTACCCATTACATAGGAAGATGGGTGGTCTCCAGAGTGGAACTTGACCCTGTGGCAAAGACAAATTCCTGTCCCTACTGAGAATCGAACCATTAATATGAATCATGTAGCCTATTCATTATATTGACTGAACTATCCCAACCCCTTTAAAGAGTATATATTAATGCTGTTCAGTAATCAGATCTAGAATAGTACAAAGGGCGCAAATAAATTTCTGAACCTTGGAATGGGCTCAAGAAAGACTTGTAAAAGCGACCAGAATGATGGGTACTATCTTCTGCGGTGTGATGTCATAGATTAAATTTCGAAGGAACACATTACCTTCATTTTCAGGGTCAAAGAATAAGCCAACCAAGTAACCAGCAAGAAATAAATAATAAGTAAATTTCTTTCTTGCTTGGCTTACTCTTCGGCCTTGAAAATGGATGCACTATGTTCCTCCAAAATGTAAACAAACTCCACACTCTGAGAACCTCAAACCCAACAAGATCCAGAATGTTTCCTACCAAGGTATATCTATCCAGCCTCCTCGACCACTGAACTCGAGAGGGTCATGTTTGAGTTCCCATTATTCCAGCAGTGTTAAAAAACGTCATCACTTGTTTCCATTCAAGAGCGTTCAGTGCCTGAGAATTGCAGCAGCACATGTTCACACAAAGGACTAAACATCAGTCGTGAGAAAACTCTCACAATAGCATTCAGTAAAATAATTATCATCCTCTTCTTACATTATTGCAGGAATTATTATCATATATAAATATGTGGTTTGGGCTTTAACGACTAGACTGTGTCGGTTCTTGAGGGTTTTCAAAGGTCAGGGTATATTTTATACTTGTCATCTTCAGAGTTAACGACCTCAGCAGAAGCAGAAGCTTGCTGCTGGCAACCAGCCAGCACAGTCACTTATAGTATTGGGCCCCATAGGGACCCATGACTATATATTTATTAATCACTAAGACCATTACGTTTGTTTTTCTTCTTTGTTGGACCTCCTTTTCGGGAAGATGAGGGCCGATGAGGGGTTGACCTTTTTAAGTATGTAACCACGTACTTTACCATCATCAACCAGAGGTTACAATATTCCCACAGGGACTAAGTAGGGGATATATACCATGTACACTATACACAAAATACAAACTGGCATTATATTCTAATATATTCAGAGACCCCTGTCAATGCAGGCTTGTAGGGCAGGTTACGCCTTGGCTTATTTAACCCTTAATGACCAAAGTCTAAGTCACTGTGTGACTGACGGTCAGTCAGTCAGTCTCTCTTGGTGTCAAGCCATATGTTGGATCATAACCAGATATAGGTTTCTGTTTATCATTTGTCATAGTCACTGTTAGCCTCTCTCAGTCCAGGCTCAGTACAGTAGATCATGCCCTATCTTTAGTAGCTTCCGCTACAACGGCAGTCAAGTCACTTGAACGGTCGTATGCTTGACCGCCGCCAAGTTTAAGCCTCTTATATTTCCTGTGTCGTGCTTCACCTCGTCCAATGTTGCGAACATTTGCATTTCCATGATTTTATATGGCTTTTGCTTGTTGCCTGCATAATTTTGTTATATGATCATGTATGTACAGAAGTCTGAAAGCCATGTGCAAATCGCGAACCGATGTGCGCCTTGGAAAATTGCCAATATCACGGAGAAATTACTTTGGAGGCGCTGCGATTTCAGTAGATGGTTGTCTGCCGCAGACTCCTAGGTGGGGCAAGCATAGGTCATTATACTCATAATGAGTGCTTTGTGGAGGGTCAGTTTAATGTCAGCGTCTAATCGCTCACTTTCTATGTGCAATCTCCATGTAACTTATCAAAGATTACGCCGAGATATTTTACACTATCTACAAATGGAATGTTTCGTCCACACACACTGTAAGATGGGACTGAGGCGGTCGATGACTGCGAGAGAAATGCATTCCCTGAGTCTTGTCCTAATTAATTTTAATATTAAAGCCCTCACACCAAGTCTTCGCTGAGCTGAAACAACGCTGGAGTTTTCTCGCAACAAAACCCTCCTTGCGATCTGTCGTCCGTAAAGAGGGCAAGAGGAACAATTTTTTTTTTGGGGGGGGGGCATCATTTATATACATATTGAACAGAGTATGGGACAGGACAGAACCTTGAAGTACACCTCCTTGCTTTTCACCTTCGCCATCGACCGAAACACTGAATTTGCATTGTGAAAGAAAAGAACCAATAAGCTTGATCAAACTGGACGAAAATTCCAATTTAGATAACTTATATAGTAAATCAGAGTGCCATGTGGTATCAAAGGTTTTTCGATGTCCAAGAACACGGCGGCCGTAGATATTTATTGTTGAAATTAAGGGTCACGTGGTTCATTAGCCTCATACATTGCAGTGTCGTGCTGTGACGTGCACGAAAAAAAAAAACTGGCTTGCGTTAAGCAGGCCTCTTTCTTCAATGTACTTTTGGACTATTTTCAGAATGACTTTCGCGAATAGCTAGCCTGTTGTGGATGAGAGGCTAATCGGACGTAAATGTTGAGGGAATTTTGGGTCCTAACCGGTTATCGGTAACGTTATGACCAGGGCCCGGATTTTGATGACCTGAAAATATTTAAAAAAATGACCGAAAAAATCCAGAAAAATGACCTAAAATATGACCCAAAAATGTAATATGCAGGGCCCGGATTTTGATGACCTGAAAATATTTAAAAAATGACCGAAAAAATCCAGGAAACTGACCTAAAGGAGAAAAGAAAGAACACTTCGCTTCCATATTATTCACATTTCAGAAAACATATGAAGAAAAATTCCCTAAAATGGCTAAAAATGACAAGAAATACCCTTAAACGTATAAAAATGTACCAAAAAATTGCCCTCAAAATGAAAAAAAAATGACCTTAACCTAAAAATGACAAAAATTACCTATAAAATTTACATTTCTGTAACCAGCAGCTCATATCCGAGATTTATATATTTAAGAGCATCGCATAGGATGCAAGGAAAAAAAGATGACATATCATCAAAATCGGGGCCGTGGTTATGACTTTTGCTAACGACCTTCGGTTGGGTTTGGCAGCTCTTGCATAGCTCTCGCACTGGGCATTGTTTGGAGGAGGTGAAGCCGTGATTGGGTGAAGAGACGAGCGGTGTGGACACCAACAAGGGGTGCATGCGGTTGTCATAAGGAACAGAACCCTCTCTTATTTTAGGACGTCATAGGGACAAAACAGCAAGCCGTCCTGTTATTTTTAGCTGTCAAGACCGAGCGATAGCCACGACTTTTAACATGCCACAGGATAATTTATTAGTATTGGGTATGGCTGCAGAGTAAAATCACGCACAGCCATAAACCTGACAGCCCTTCCACAGTATAAAAAAAGCTTTAGTGAGCAGTCCTCAAAAATGGAGATGAAGGTAGATGTTCTTAGTTTTTATGCTTATGGCTGGGTCAAAGGAGTGGGATACACAACACATTCCTTTGAGCCAATACATTTTTTAACTGCTGACTGGGACAGTCGACAGTGAGCAGCCAGTGGTGTAAGTCGTCTGTTCGACTCACTTAATAAACCTATCCTATCTACCAGATGGACTTTGAGTTTTTCTAACTTCGATTGGACTTCGCTCCACTCCACATCCTGTTCGTCACATGCAATTTCCTGGCAATCCGGTAAAACACACAACTACCGGCGATCCACGTAATTTTCGGACATACTCGCAAGAGATCTAAATTTGTTTGTATGGAACGACAAGACTGCTCCGTCCACCTACCACTTTGTCTTGCACGTCCAACCATACAACACGGTTAGTGGGAAGGGGTGATACAGAAATGTTCCAGGCACCAAATGGTTAAAGAAAGGGAGAGAACAAAAATGCTTTCAGAATCAGGTGGTCTTGAGACGCGAAAACCTTAGGACCACAATATCTAAATATGCTTAGTATATCGGGGGAGTCGTGACTCCTCAAGAGGTTGGACGAGGAAAATTTGTGGCCCGATTCGTGGTAGGGGCAAGAAACTTTCCTCCAGATCAGCTCTGGGACCCACGAACCATCCTATCCAATGGGAACCGAGAGTTCTATAGCCGAAAGCAGCCAGAGTCTGAAGACAACCACTCACCGTCATCTACCCTCAACGTTAGCGTGGTATTATGGTATAGTGAAGAACAAAAGAAACCAAGAGAAAAGCTAGGCCGCGCCATACCTCAAGCGGTTAGTCGCTGGCTTCCCACCGCGGCGGCCAGGGTTCGATCCCGGGTCTGGTCAAGTGGGATTTGTGGTGGAGAAAATGGCGCTGGGGCAGGTTTTCTCCGAGCACTTCGGTTTCCCCTGCCAATCTTCATTCCACCAATTGCTCCACAGTCACCCTCACCTATCATCTGGGGCTGGTACAATAGGCCAGAAGTGGCCGCAG